TCCTTTTTATTTTTTATTTTGGGGCAGGGTCTGGCTAAGTTGCCAATGCTAGTCTCAAACTTGCATTTCTTCTGCCTAAAACTCTCTAGTTGCTGGGATTACAGGTGTGTGCCATCACACCTGGCATATAAAACTATTTTGTGCTAATAAATTCTGCAGAACATACCCTGCTCCTTTAGTTTAGCCTTGTCGCAGTCTGGCTGGGCACAAATAGCTGAGCCACCACAAAGCCTTGTAGGTTCAAACAGCAACTCTTTATTCCCCAACTCTCACTGGCACTCTACACACACTTCCCGGGGAACACACTCCCTCCCCGGGCTCTGCGCAAGCCAATTCTCCGGGAACCCCATGAGAACTCTCAAGGGATCTCCAAAGTAGCGGGCGCCTGAGGCAGCAGGATCCCTTTTATCCCCCCCCCCCAGGATCCGCCCTAATCTGGAGCCGGGTCACCTTTTAACCATTCCCTCTAGCAAAATGCCAGGCGTCATTCTGACTAAACTGTGGCTCTCAACATAGCCTCCTCTTCCTCTTGCTGCTATTTATAACCAACCATGCCAACTATCTACATTTTGCTATATTAAACTGTTCATATAAGGTTGCTGATTTTAAACCTTCTTTCTATTACCTTTTGGCCTTGAATGAAAGGCAATCTGCTGTTACCAAATGAGGCCCATTTTACCTGCCCTGCAGAATGCCAATCATTGGAATGATGAGTGTTGCAAAGAATTTATTCAAGAGGTGCCAGACACAGGACTGTGGGAGCCTCAAGTCTCAAAGCTACCTCTCTGAGGATGAGGTATAGAGGTATTTATGGGATATAGAAACAGGGTGGTCTGAGGCAGGGGTAAAGGTGATTGGTGGTAAGGAAAAGTAATCAGTGGTCTGTGTGTGCCTAATCAAATTTCATCGGCTCTTCATAGGATACATATTCAGAAAACGGTGGTGTTAATGTGTTATGAGGGTGGAGTTGTAGCCCTCTGACATCAAAAGGTCACTCATCGGACACTTGAGCATGAAGGGTTGGTAGTTTCAGGTGGTTTGAGCTAAATCTAACTTACTGAAAAACAACTTAGGCAACCGTCATCATCATGATTTTTATATACAGGTATTACCCATTGCACAGCTAATGGTGGCATAATGCTTAGCTATGTGACACCTAAAATTGGAGATAAAAGTAGGTTACTAAAAGCAAGAGAAGCTAAAGGATTGATTTAGGTTTTTCGTTGGTTTCATTGCTTTCATTTTACAAGTAAATATATAGTATGGATCCAGAGACTCTGTACTAGGAATTGATGACAAAATTGTTGATGCCACAGTGGCAGCATTTAAAAGAAAAGTTAAATTTTTAGGTAAAAATTTCATTAGAAATCAGCTTTGGGGAAAATGATTAGTTAATATTTACAAATGTTTTTAAAGGAGGACAAAAGACTGCCACTAAAAATTCTTATTGAAAACATAGCCATTTAATTTCTCATTTTAAAATTATTCTGCTTAGTATCTTTTTTTTTTTCCACTTGTGAAATGCAAGTCCATCCTTTGAATATTGTCTCCAGCTGTGCTTCTATTTGAGACCCTGGAGTTAATTCTGATGGGGAGATACCAGTGAAGAATGGACAGAACAACCAGAGAGAAAAATGCTGATGGGGAAAAAACACAACAAGAATTAGGAAAGTGACAAGAGAGTTTTCAAGAAATATTCATATTTCTCGATTTATGTAACTTGGCATCAATAACTCAACTACGAATTCAATACCTTTCTTTAAAAATACTCACTGGGGGACTGGGGATGTGGCTCAAGCGGTAGCGCGCTCATCTGGCATGCGTGCGGCCCGGGTTCGATCCTCAGCACCACATACCAACAAAGATGTTGTGTCCGCCAAGAACTAAAAAAAAAATATAAATATTAAAAATTCTCTCTCTCGGGGGCTGGGGATGTGGCTCAACCGGTAGTGCGCTCGCCTGGCATGTGTGCGGCCTGGGTTCGATCCTCTCCACCACATGCCAACAATGATGTTGTGTCCGCCGAGAACTGAAAAATAAATATTAAAAAAAAATTAAAAAAAAAATTCTCTCTCTCTCTCTCTCCTCTCTCACTCTCTCTTAAAAAAAAAAAATATTCACTGGGTTCAATCCCAAGCACCACCCCAAAAAAGACAAAATAAAAAAACCCAAAAAAACCTAAATGACATGAATACTTCATCTATTATATATATATGTATGTATATATATGTACATTTGTATTTATATGTGCTTTTAAAATTTTTTTGGTAGTTATGTATGGACAGAATGCCTTTATTTAATTTGTTTATTTTTATGTAGTGCTATGGATCAAACCCAGTGCCTCATACCTGGTAGGCAAGCACTCTGCCACTGAGCTACAGCCCCAGCCCTTATATGTACTTTTATATTCATATTTATGCTTATATTTTACAGAGCTAGGGATCAAACCCAGGGTCTAGTGTGTGCAAGACAAGTGCTCTGTATTTCCTCTGTTTTAGATTAAAAGTGCTTCTGAGGCCAGAAATTGTTCATATTTCTTTCTTGGATATTTGGAATAGGTCTATTCTTAGAACAGACATCCAATAAATACATATTACAAATTACAATGACAGAGCTACTTTATTGGTATAGAATAATTCCAGGGGCTACTCTCCTGGTTTGTCTGAGCCTACACCTATTAATACTTCTGTATAAGTGAGTCAGAAAATTAGCATTTGAAATTCTTTGAAGCAAATAAGTTATTAATTTGACACAAGTTTTAAAACTCACGTTTGGCATTGTGATATAATCCTTTGAAGCCAGATTTAAAGTTAGGTAGTCAGTGTAGTTAGGTAAATCGGGTCTAATATCTAGTAAGATCCAAAACGGAGGCCATGTTTGAGAATGAATTCCGGGAAAAGCAGAACAACTCTTGGAATATTAATGTCTCCAAGGCCCAGAGTCCATCCCAAAGAAATGTTAATGAAGATTACTTCTTTGCCCCACCTGTGCCCCACCCTTCGGGCCTTCCCACCTACATTCCATCACTGAAAGAACTATAAAAAGGGGAAACAACCGCACTTCGCCCATTCCACCTCTTGGGTCCCCTTCTTCCTCTGGGAGAAGTCTTTTCTGCTGTCCTTTAATAAAGCCTCTACTTTCTTTTTTTTTTTTTCTTTTTGAGAGAGAGAGAGAGAGAGAGAGAGAGAGAGAGAGAGAGAAGTTTTTAAATATTTATTTCTAGTTATCAGCAGACACAACATCTTTGTTTGTATGTGGTGCTGAGGATTGAACTCAAGCGCGCTACTGCTTGAGCCACATCCCCAGCCCAAAAGCCTCTACTTTCCACTCTGACCTTGCCTCAGTGTGCTTCTCTGGTGTTATACTTCAACTTTGGGGAAGCAAGGACTCGTCACCGGTCAACATCGGTAACACTTTCAGCCAAAAGTTTCATTTTTTTAATCTCAAAACAATCAAAGCAGATGTCACTGGTTAAGAGTCCATTTGATCACAGCATTTCACAATTTGTACCAACATCTGGGTAACAAAGCTTTGCACGTCACTTTAATGGATGGAGTGCCAAATTTCTCAAATGCATTTCCACAAAATGAAACTTTTTTTTTTTTTGGTGGGTGTTGGGGAATTGAACCCTTGAACCAGGGGAGCTTTACCACTGAACTATATCCCCAGCCCTTTTTATTCTGGGACAGGGTCTCACTAAGCTGCTGAGGCTGACCTTGAACTTGTGATCCTTCTTTCTTAGCCTTCCTGGTGGCTGATATGGTGTGGGCCACTGCAACCAGTCACAAATGGGTTTTAAATGAAAGCCTTAACTGTTCTTCATTTGTGAATTAATTTCTCCAGGGTCAAAGTTCTGGCTCCCAGAAAAGTTACCCACAAAAGGTAAGACAGTGATAGACAATTTATTACATAAGCTATCTGATGAGCAGATGTCAGGGATTTTTCTCCTAAGGAGCCCTCTTGCCATAGGCTGATTTAGGGGAGGTTTAAAAAGGAGAAGGGGGATGGAAGATTAGTGGGCACCTTCTCACAGGTGGAGGTTTGTGGTTAAATGAGGCACCTCTGAGCTTAATCTCCTAGTTACAAGATGTTTCTCAGTTTTGCAAATTTCAGCAAAAAAGATGATTATTTCCTTGGGCTATTCTTGCAACTGATTAGTCTGGCCACATGGAGTTTCTGACATATAGGGAACAGGCTAGAGGAAAGGGGTTGGCCCCAGGCCCCTTGGTTTATCCACCAAACACTTGCTAATGAAAAGAGTATAGTTTGCCAGATCCCTGTGGAAGACAAAGGTCACATTGAGATAAAATAGAGAATTGGTCTTGAGGTCTGGTATCTGTGCTTGCCTTCAAGAATATTATTCTGGGCTGGGGATGTGGCTCAAGCAGTATCGCGCTCGCCTGGCATGCTCTTGGCGCTAGGTTCGATCCTCAGCACCACATACAAATAAAATAAAGATGTTGTGTCTACCGAAAACTAAAGAATAAATGTTAAATCTCTCTCTCTCTCTCTTAAAAAGAATTTATTCTCCTAGGTATAGTGACTCACACAAGGGCCACTTAGTGTCCACACATGCCCTGACAATGGCCAGAGGTTTCTCCTAGGGTGGTACCTGCGTTGGACACATTTAAAACTAAGTGTGACATTGTAATATTGTCTTAAAAACCCAAGAGTTGGTTACCTTATCACCAGCATATCTCCCTCTCTTCTCCCTCAGGCAAGACCACCTGTTGGCTCATCCTCTACAGGGCGAGGAGACCACAGCAATTATAATGCAGCGCCCTCTTTTCCCTAAGCGAAGTGAGGGCGGACCGGGCGCCCAGACAACGTCTATGGTTCCAAGATGCCGGATTCTTTTCGGACTCGGCTAGTCCCACCGTGAGACCCGAGGGACCCACTTGCTCCGCCGGTTGCCTTGGGGCGGTCTGGGGCCGTGGCCTCTCTGGAGGGCCCACCCCAAGGGCAGGGCGAGGGGCCGGAGCGAGCGCCGTGACGCGAACGGCCCGGGCCAATGGGAGCACCCCGTGGCGCCGGCCAAGCCGCCGGGCCATAAAAAGGAGGCGCTGCCGGTCTGTCCAGCCGGCGGCGGCCTTGACTCGAGCGTGTCTCTGCCAGATCGCTTACCGTCCTCAGGTGATTCGGGCCACAGGTCATTGCGGGCCGCCGCCTGCGAAGTTTAGCTGCAGCCCCCTGAGGCGCCCCGGGGTCTCCCCGAGCGGTAGCAGCGGGACCATGGAGAAGGGCCCGGTTCGGGCGCCGGCGGAGAAGCCGCGGGGAGCCAGGTGCACCAATGGATTTCCCGAGCGGGAGCCGTCGCGGCCCGGGCCAAGCTTGACGGCGGAGAAGTCCCCGCCGCCCGAGGCCAAAAGCCCCCAGCCCGCGGACGGCTGGAAGGGCGAAGGACCCCGCGGTGTGGAGGATAACGAGCTGAACCTCCCCAACCTGGCGGCCGCCTATTCGTCCATCCTGCGCTCTCTGGGCGAGGACCCCCAGCGGCAGGGGTTGCTCAAGACGCCCTTGAGGGCGGCCACGGCCATGCAGTTCTTCACCAAGGGCTACCAAGAGACCATCTCAGGTCAGTGACCCCTCCGGCCGCGTCGGCGCTGGCTACTGGGACGTGCGGGGAGCGGGAGAGGTGGCTGCGGGGAAGCCGGCGGCGGCTCCAGGAAGTTTCCGGAGTTGCCACACTCTGGGCGGAGGGAGCCCAGTCTTGTCACCTTCGAACCCCGCCCTCCGTGCTGGCCAGCTGCCCCGAGGCGAGGATCCAGGCGCCCAGGAGAGCAGCGGCCTGCCTCCCGGAGATCCCTGCGGCTGTCCTCGTGGGGTCCTCCTCTCTCCCAGCACTTAACCTCCCCTCTAGAGCCTGGGGCTGGGGGTTCCTTGGGCGGAACCGCTGTCACTGAGCTCCTCGGCGGGCAGGAGTCTGTTGCTGCCCTTCTCATCTGAGCACCCAAAACCGGGTGCTTGAGGCACTAGCAGAACACAACTTGATAAGGGATCGCTTACGCACTTGTTGGAAATGACAGGTTCCTGGGTCGTTTCTTTTCTTGAGACTCTCCTTCCTGCCCCCCGCCCCTCTTTTTGGTAGATCTTGGAGTGAAGCCCTGGCTTCGTGTGCTTTGGTCACCCAGAGTTCTTCCGCCGCAAAATCAGGGACCAGCATTCTGATTTATTTATCAGGGGACTGGGGTCTTCAGAGAGTTGTTAATTCTTTCATCCATCTCAAGTTTACTTTAGCTCAGGACTTTTCCAAAAATTGGAACAGTTCTGAGTGCAGTCTTCCCTGGAGTTTGAGGTGTGAGGTTTCTTGGGCTAATTTGCTGCTGAAAGCCTTCTCCTTTTCCTCCCTCTAAAGAAAGAAAGCAATTCTCAGCTGATGCTCCAGTGTCCCCTCCCTCCAAGTCAGCTGGGTTGACCCAGTGTAGTCTGGATGCCTATCCAGCTTTCATCGGTGGGTTAGCAGGCAGTGTGGGTCTGTGAGGAGGCCATGTGAAGGGGAGTGGAGAATAATCCAGGAATGCCTGTTTATCAGGCGAGCAGTGTTGGTATTTATTTATTTTTTTAAAACTTCTGGTGTCCTTGGCTGGGATCAAAGTCATTGTTCTTCATTCCACGTCTTCTGAACATATTGGTGTCATTTCTGTGAAGAAGCCTCTGCCTTTACCGTTTCTCCTAGAAAAAACAGTGCTGTCCCTGTTATTTTCCTGAAAGAGTATGGAGCCACTCAAAGACTACATCCTGGGAAGAACAAAAGTTATTTTTTGCCCAGTCTTCCACACCCTAAAGGAAGGGTGGGAAATCAAAGCACAAGAGGGGTGGGGTGCTAAGAGGAAATGATACTGTATCCTAGAGTCAAGAAATGGACCTCTAGTCCCAGGATTTTCTCACCTCTTGATGGCAAAAGTTTGGAGAGTTTCAAAATGCAAAGGATAAAGAATAATGTTTCTGTTTTCTGTGAGTTCAATTATCCCAGAGTAAATATTCTGGGATATAATGTAGAAGACCCTTTAGGGATCTTGTTCATTCTATCTCTTGAAGATACAGGAGGAGGAGGAAGTGTCTCCACAGCCTTGGCAGGACTGTGGCCTGTACCCTAGCATGGGAGGGACAGGCCACAGACTATCTAAAGTGAGCCACAGGTTTACTTGAGAAATAGCAGCAGTAGCAGCTTGTCTCATAAGTCAAGATTCAGCTACAGAGGACTAAAGTCTCCAAAGAGCACTTCATTCTATCTTAGAAAAGTGTTCTAATCAAGTGTTAACTTATTATTTAAAAAGTATGAGGACTTACAAATGAGGCAGAATAGTGATTGCCATCTGAGGAAGAGGGGAGAATGGGAAGTGACTGCTTAATGGTTAATGGGTATGGGGCTTTGTTTTAGGATGATAAAAATGTTCTAGGATGAAAGTACCATTTGCAAATGCTACTGAACCATACACTCTAAAATGGCTAAAATGAAGAATTTTATGTCTATTTTACTATGATAAAAAAAGCTCATGAACCTTATTTAAAATAATTAATGGTTATTAATTGAATGTCTTAATGGGTTCAGTGCTTTTTGTGGATGGTTAATCCTCAACTTTGAGGTGAATTCTGTTCTCTTACCCCATGACTCGGAAATCGAGGCAGAAAGGTTGACAGTTTACAGGTGGGAGAGCCAGGCAGCCCTATGGCTGAACTCTTCAGTACTTATTTCCTTATGGTGCAACACAGGGAGATGAATCAGTGCACCTTTATCTACCAAATACTTTAACCTTGAGCTGGGTTACCAGCATTAAAAACAAACAAACAAGCAAATGGTGGAGTAGAATGGATAAGATCAGTTTATCATATGCAATAAGACTAGTAAGGATAAAGTTTTAGGGAACTCACAGATATGATTTGTGTGTGTGTGTGCTGCACACACACAAATCATACCTGTGAGTTCTCCACATGTGGAATGCATTTCTCACTGGGGTTGCAGTCAAAAGTTTTGAAAAATATTAGAATATCGCACTTAAGGATTTAACATTTATTTTTAAGAGATACATAATTAAAGCAGATTGAGTGGAGAGACAGAAAGGTTGATACTGAGTTTAAAGAAATGAACCTGAAATGGTGGTTTTCCATGTCTTGGACCACCCAGGATGGGAGAGAGAAGGAAGGATACAGATGGGAGGAGTGGCAGGTGGCTGGAGGAGTCATACATTTGTAGAAAATATAGAAGAGAGTAATAGGACAATCTTGCACAATCCTCAATTTTTATTTCTTTTGGAGCATAAATCAATGACTACTATAGATTATTTTGAATAGGAATAATCTTTGAAACTCATTTCTAAGCTTGTGAACAGATTAGACCTTATTTACTTTATATTCTGCATATTAATTTTTGGTTAACATTGTTGATGTGCGAGAAAATGTAAGAAAATGTAAGTTGGGCCAGGGTGCACAGTTGTGCACTCCTGTAATCCCAGTGACTTGAGGAAGACAATGGCAAGTTTGAGGCCAAGCACAGCAACTTAGTGAGACCTGTCTTAACTTAAAATATAAAAAAAAGGACTGGCGATGAGGCTTATTGGTAAAGTGTTCAATACTTAGTACCAAAAAAAGAAAATGTAGGTTAGTATTTCATATTCCCCCAATTTTTTTTTCCTTCCTTCTTTTTGCAGTTCCTCCTCTTGTGTGATTTGAGGCTAGTTTCTGATGCCCTAGGGAATTTATCATCATCTCCACACTGCAGCTTCCTTCCATGACCCTTGCCCCAGCTTTCTAGTGTGTTCTCATTGAAGCATCTGTGGTTGTCCAAGACAGGGCTATGTCACAGCTGTATAATTCTCCCAGTTTCCTGTTCACTTCTGGGCTGTAGCTTGTAGGTGGAGTGGACACCAGCACCTCTCCAAGGAATGGGAGAATCTAGCATCATAGGCTGATCTTTGGACCAACTTACACCAACTCATCTTTTTCTGTTTCTGCCCCATTTCAGTATAGCCATAGCCTATTTCTCTTACATATTCAATTTTTATTGTGGTGAGTTCTTTCTATACAAGGGCCCTTTCCTGTATGTCCACTCTCCTTTTATTCAGAACCAGTACTGAATTAAAATTTGAGTGTCCACTATACCCTGAGGTCTTTGGCTTTTATTCCCCTGTGACTGAGCCTTCCTATTCCCTGTCCTCTCCCAGATATAAAAAGGAGCAACCTTTTTAGAGAGCATTATCTGCCAAATGTTGAATGGGTACAACTTGTCCTATCAGTTGTCCTTTTTTTTTTTTTAATACTGGGGAGCGAATCTAGCCACATCCCCAGACAGGGTCTCACTGAGTTACTTAGGGCCTCAATGATAAGTTGCTGAGGCTGGCCTTGAACTCATAATCCTCCTGCCTTAACCTCCAGAGCTGCTGGGATTAAAGGCATGTGCCACTGCACCCAGCTCAGTTGTCTTTTTTTTTTTTTTTTTTTTAAAGATAGAGTGAGAGAGAGAGAGAGAGAATTTTAATATTTATTTTTTTAGTTTTCGGCGGATACAACATCTTTGTTTGTATGTGGTGCTGAGGATCGAACCCGGGCCGCACGCATGCCAGGCGAGCGTGCTACCACTTGAGCCACATCCCCAGCCCCCAGTTGTCCTTTTTAAAATGAGTTTATGGGAGTACACAAGAATCTTGACTCTGTCACATTTTCTAGTTAAATTAGGTTTTAGCTTATCTTATACAGACTGCCAAGACAGTTTTCATAATCAGGTTGACAGTGTCTCCAAATCTGGGAACCATGGATATCATCTAGTTTAAGGAGATGGCACCAGAGGTGACTGTTTTCCCTGATGGGGCTGGGGAGGCTCAGGCATGCACAGTAAGTCAGGTCCCCTCCTCAACCATGTTCCCTGCCAGATTGTCTCCATTCTCTGAGGATTATGCAAGGCAGTTAGATACTTCATTTATACAAGAATGAATTCTTAGCTACTTCATATTGTAATGTGGTAGCCACAAAAGATTTTTCTGAACTAAAAATTGTAACAATTTTTAGCATGTAAAAGGGACAAAAAGTCAAATAATTTACTATTTCTTCTTACATCTTTGGTGAAAGGTGAGTTTGTCCCAAGTTTTAAAGTATATTGTAGAAAAGTTCATTTTATTGGGGGCTGGGTTGTGACTCAGTGGTAGAGTGCTTGCCTAGCATGTGTGAGGCCCTGGGTTCAATCCTCAGCACCACACAAAAATAAATTAAAATAAAGGTTTTGTGTCCAACTATAACTAAAAACAAAAATAAGTATTAAAAGAGAAAAGTTCATTTATTAAGAGATGCTGTTTTGAATGTTCAGCTTATTTAAATCTTGACTAATAATTTGTTTTTAATTTTGTTAGTTGATGCTCATATACAGTTTAGGTCTATTTGCTGCTAGAAAGAGCACTGTGAATAAAGAGGAGAAAAATGACAAAGCTGTGGATATCTTAATGACTGGAATTTGCAGGAAATCGAAATGGATTAATACTATTAAGAAGAGGTTATTGAAAATTGGGAAGAAAAGCCAGTCCTAATAGTTCCTTTAAAAATATGTTAAAACAACAAATTTAAAAAATATAATCAATACCTAGGATT